TGCTTCGAAAGGAGCGGGAGTCGATGGTCTGCCACCGATACTGCGCTGCATCTCAGGTTGAACCATTGACGTTACTGTTTAACTGTTCGTTAGAACAAAAAAAGTCCCAAGTTTATGGAAAACCGCGTCAATGATTCCAATTCTCTGCTGTCTGGGAAAGGTTCTCGAATCACATTGATGTATGTTTCTTATCGAAGATGCGTCACACATATAAAACCGGCCAGGCCTACTGTGCAGCATTTAAGGGGCAAGATGATTCAGAAAACATCGAGCCTGTTTAAATCGAAGATTTAAATACGATGTTTCAGAATCCAATAAATTGATGAAACGTGGACAACTCGTACCGTACGTTCCGATTTTGGTAATTATATGATTGGTTGGTCGTTGGAAGCATCAAGCTAGAAAGGTTAAGTGATGCTCCATTTTCTTCTCACGGTTGGGGCATGAGCACTAACTCTTGTCCCAGCCTATTTCCTAGACAAGAAAAATGATGTAGGTATATATATCATTTTCCAGGTTGCTTTCAAGAACTGGCTGTGTTGGTGTTAGATTCGATTAGATTAGATTAGATGATAACAGAAGGATCCAAAATCATTGTGTGGTTGGATTCACTGGTGGAGGAATTGTTTATAAATGACTAGAGAAAATTAAGTATCGGGAATGCGCTCCCGGATATATTGATTTGGTGAGTACGTTCCAGTTGAAGATTATTCTCTCTAAATAACCCTTTTTTGAATACATTTCATTAATCAAACATTATTATATGCTGAGTTTGGGGGGGGGCAGCCTAAGAGTTTCAAATGATTTGTAGACTGGACAAGGGTTCGTGGATTGGTCAGTCCCTTTTCACGTGTTGATAGACGTACATCTTGTCGTTTGTCTTCCAAAGGTCTTCAATGAAGTTGATTCACCCTGCTGCAACAAACCATCGCATCGGGCAGAACTTTACAACCAGTGAAGTATCTGCAGTCATAGGTAATCCTTGCACTGATTGTGGGTTCTATTCACATCACATCACATCACATGATAATAGAAGGATCCAAACTGATTAAAAACCCATTTGCTGATCAGAGATGAAGTCCTCAGCATATTTTTATCAAGTCTTCAGGTTGATCGGGTTTCATTCTGAAGATCTCCAACTGCCATTCAAATAACGTCTCGCAGATATTCATCCATGATAACAGGATGATCAGAAATTATTTAAAAAACCAAAGTCTTCAGGTTGATCAGGTTTTACATTTCTGAAGATCCAAGAATTTTCCAGAAGTTCGCTGATTTGACTGTAGGTGGCTGAATTACTTTTGAAATTCATAGACACCCATGAATTAAGTAGAATTTTTCTGAAGATCGTAGACTTTCCTAAATTTTGCATACTTGATGCTCACAGATTTACCTGAAATTTGCGGAAAATTCGTGAAGTTTGCAGAACTTACCGAAAAAATTCTGAACTTTCCAGAAATTCGCAAAACTTTCTTGGAGTTCTATTTTTTTTTCAATTTTCAAAATCTTTCCAGAAGTTTGTTGAATTTTCTGAAGTTCGCCGAATTTTCCTGGAGCTCATAGAAGTTTCCTGAAGCTCAAAGTCCCCTGAATAAATTCGTTAAACTTTTCTGAATTTCGCAGAATTTTCCTGAAGGTCTTAGAATTTTCCTGAAGCTTGCTTCCTAAAGTTAGCCGAACTTTTTTGGAGTTTGGAGAATTTCCCTGCAGTTTATAGATTTTTTCTTATCTTTGTAGAACTTTCTGTGCTGTAGGAAATCGATAGATTTTTTTAATAGTTATAGCTGCCAGAGTAAATCGCAGTCTTCCTTGAATGTTCTACAATTTTTCAGAAATCTACCGACTGAGTCGCAGGATTTTGCTGAAGCTCGCAGATCTAAAGTTATCAAAAGATTAACGAAGTTCACAGACTTCCCGGAATCTTGTAGTATATTCCTGAAGTTAATAGGTTTCCTTGAAGTTCGCATAACTCTCTAAAACCCATACATTTTGATTTAGATATAATTTGGATTTACAAATAAAATAAAATAAATATTTTGTTGCTGAGTTAGTGGGGCATTCTCCATCTTGCTCCCCTCTGGTTACGCCTATGACCTATCTCCCACAATCAACATCCGTTAGAATGAGTATCAGTGTTCTGTAGTTGAAAGTTCTGTAACATATTTTTTCGACAATTCACTGATAGGGGAAATGGATGTAATGTCGGCCTATATGCCCCTAATTTGGGCTCATACATAAATTCAGCAATCGACTAAATTTTGAATAGCGACCAAAATATGCATTAGTACCGTCCCAATGACGCGTTCATTTAGATAAAATTGATAAATAGCAGATTTTTAGCGATGGGCCCAATCTTAGATCCATGGACCAACATTAGAGCCATTTACCCTAGTTTTTAAAATAAAATCAATAATTGAAAATGCTTAAATCGTAGCATTTGTCTCAATTCCTTATTCGGAATAGAAACATCGATTTGCAATTTGAAAAATAAACAGATGTTCTCCTTTAATACAGTCGCTCAGCCTCGCTTTCTTCTTCGGGCATTATTTCCATTAGCTTTACGTGCGGTCCAACTCACATTTGTACTATAGCAATACTGGTTCGCCGGAAGAAATATATACAACAAACTTGAAACAGCTTCCTTAAATTATTAACCATCCTATTTTGGCAAACACTTTGCCCCAACTACCTTTTATCCGGGAATTCTCCACCTCCGCCTATCGTCGTCTTTCCGTTTTCAATTGACTTCCTTCGTTTACTCTTTGATACGGATACAGTTGCTAGCGATCAAGGGACGACTCGTGGTGGCCCAATTCTGTGATTAAGGCTACAGTAGTAGGGTAGCATGCTAACAAACAAAAGCGACAACGAATACGAGCGAGTTTTTCCGAAAAGAAGCTTTAAATATTTAACCGATAACCCCTTTCAACGGCGACAACGACGACGGAACCCGGGCGGGACTGGACTCGTGGTATTCTACTTTGGCTTATTGTCAGTATTCTTGCTGACACGGCCATGCCGCCACTGTCTCGCAACTATTATAATGTTCGCCTGAATCCACATTTTTTTTTTATTCTGGCGGCGAATTAAATTTTCATCCCGTGGACCGCTTTTCCATGGCATAAGCAATAAAGATAACGAGTTTCCTTTTTTGCCTCACTCACTGCTTCTGGAGAATGGAAATGATTTTACTCTGAATCGGTTGGTCAAACAAAAAGCGAATTTGTTCGCCTTAGGAAATTCCGCGTACAGAATTGAATCAAAGAACATCGAGTAGGTAGTGATGAACTTGAATTTCGGTGACTCTGCTCGGCTGTTTAGGAGAAGGTTGAAAAATGCAACTCATCGAAGAGAGAAGTAGGCGACGAAGAAGTTTTCATCGGTTTTCCTTCGCTCACTCTTCCGTTGGGTGCTGTTCGTGTTCGTTCGTCACTGCTTGGAAAATGGAGAGGGAGAGAGAGAGCCGAGTCAAATCGTTCTCCACCAGGGCGGGAGGCGGGAGAGTGAGTGACGCCTCCTAGGTAGCTAGGATTGCATTTTCCAGCCCCAGACAGTTGCCATCAGTGGGGCTCAGACGGGCAGACGAACATTACTCGGGGCAGGCAGGTTCGTTGCAACAGTCGGGAAAATTGGACAGGTTGAGCTTTACGTGAATGATTAATGACTTTGTGATATGTGTCGCTTATATCAAGCCAAGGGAGCTGATGTATTTTATATTAAATCATACATTTACAGCGGAGGATAAATTGAAGTTGAATTCGGTGAACGTTTCCGTGAAGTGGAATGTGTAGCATGTTGGGAAAGGTTTTTAGAATTGAAATTTTACAGTGGTAAAGTGATTTCCTGACAACGAGAAGATCGTTTATCAAATTTTTAACGGATTTTATTTTATGCATTGCTTCACATCCGACTGCGAGATTTGAAGCATTAATTCGGCCATGAGCATCTGAGCTTTGTTGAAATATTTTCAAAAATGATTGGACATGGGAAATTCTTTCCCTAGTGGATCTATTTCATTACATTTAAACCTGCCGTTCGAAAAATTCAACTTGGATTTTGAGATTTATAGCGTACACATTGTTGGGCACTAAAGGTGTTAGCTTGACGGAGCCGATAAGGTGGTATTTGTTAATTGTTAGTAACAAAATTCACTTTGTCGATATCAAAGTAGAGAGCAGTAGAGGTTTCAATTTACTTCGGGCACTTTCTTCACAGATCACTCAATCTTCTGTTTAGTTCAGTTCATTTATTAAATTTTACTTCGTTTCACTTCATTCACTTTATTTGCAGTTCAATTCATTTTACTTTTAGTTCAAACTAAGACAATCCACTTTTATTTTACTTAATTTCACTTAATTTCAATATTTTACAAACTATGGACTTGGTTCACTTTGGTTCTTCACAATCGGTTTCGTCCTCGTTGTCGTAGTCGAGAAAAAGAGAGTTTTTCCCATGCGGGATGGTCCTTTTATACAACGGGGCTATTCATCGGCGGCGGAAAAAGGAAGTAAACAAACGACAACACTATGCTGCATGAGTTACTCTGCTCCGTTGGGACGACAGCGGGGATGACATCTTGTTGGGACGACAACTCGTAGAAAATCGACGAACGAGGGATCTTTATTAAGGGTGATGATCATTTTCGACAACTAGGCGGCGCTAGTATATTCGTACGCGAACATCCTGGCCCCTTCAGAAATCACTATTTCTGATGGCATGTTGTTGTTGTTGCTCCCGTGCTGGTGATGATTGACGTTGGCGGATGACGTTTACTCTTCCTCGATGTTTACTCTCGTCAGGCGATAGAAGATGATCCAGTCCGGCAGCGAATTGATATTATGGAAAATAGAAGACCCGGTAGAGGGGTTTTACGGATATAATTTGTTGGACAGGGGCTTACCTTGTCCCTAATAAATTGGGGCCTTGTATTTTTATAATTTCAGGTGACTCCGGATGGAAACCAGTGCAACATCGGTGACGGAATTGGTTGAAACGATGACTTATTGTTGGTGTTTTGATTCTGCTTCTGGACGAATGGTTTGTTTTGTTGATTTCTCGATGGATGATGGAATCGGTAGTAAGCAAATCTTGCTAACGGGGCGAGTGTAGGTGCCGTGGGCGGTGCGGAGAGTGACCACCCGTGTGTTTCCGTCTGCTCCAGGATGTAATTCTACGATCCTCGCTGTTGGCCAGGCCATAGGCGGAGTTTTTTCGTCCATAAGGAGGACTAGTTGACCCTTCTCCAATACGATTGGCGGATTGCACCACTTCGTTCTCGGTTGCAAGGTGGCTAAGTACTCCAAGTGCCACCTCTTCCAGATGATTTGGAAGTTCTTCTGGATTTGCTGCCACTTGGCTAATCGGTTGCTTGGGATTTCGGAGACATCAACGTCTGGAACAGATTTGAGCGCAGACCCGATCAAAAAGTGTCCAGGAGTAAGCACGTCGTAATCTGTCGGATCGTCGCTCAGAGGGGTAATCGGGCGTGAGTTTAAGCAGCATTCTATCTGCGACAACAGCGTCTCCATGTCGTCGTGAGCGAGTGTGCTAGTGCCAAGAACCCGCACAAAATGCTTCTGCGCGGATTGGATTGCTGCCTCCCACAGACCACCAAAGTGTGATGCCTTGGGAGGGTTGAAGCGCCATCGGATGCCGTGGGATGCAAACAAACAAACATTGCGACGTAAGCCTTTCTGGGAGCGGCGCGACGGTGTGGGGGTTGGAGTGAAATTGGACCCCAGTAATCGATGCCGGTGATGGAAAATGGTCTGCTTGCTGTAACTCGTGAGGCAGGTAGCTCTGACATAAACTGCTGCAGCAGTTTTGGACGGGCTCTTACACAGGTGACGCAATTCTGGACGATAGTTTTTGCCAGGTTTCTGGCCCCTGTGGCGGAGGATATTGACCAGAAGCTGAGGGGCGGCGTGCAGATGCTTTTCATGCAGCGAACGAAGTAGAAGAGTGGACAAACCGTGCTTTGCTGGCAAGATAATTTGGTGCTTACTATCGAAAGGTTGAGGGGCTTGATTTAGGCGGCCGCCGATTCTCATTAGTTGATCGCTGGCGATAAAGGGTTGAAACCAACGGAGTTTGGATTTGAGCGAAACTGGTTGTAATTTTTGTAGAGTTTTCCATTCTTCGTTGTAGGACTGTTGCTGGACCAATCGGATGACGGTAGCTTCGGCTTCTCCAAGTTCTTCTGAGCTGAGGAAGGAATGTGTTGTTTGTGCAGATGGCTTGCAGTTCCGTATGAACCGGCGACAATATGCGACGACGCGTAGAAGACGGAAGTAGTTCGAAAACTTGCTCACTAGTGCATCGACGAACGAAGGCTCGGTGGTTATTGCAGTCGCTGCCAGTGGTAGTTTGCGTGCTTCGGGAAGCGCAATTTCGTTTGTAATGTTGCTCGTCAGCTGGTTGGGCCATGAAGAGGGTTCGAGATGCAGCCATGGTGGTCCGCGCCACCACAGGTCGTTGTGCAGGATGGTTTCCGCCTCTGTTCCTCGGGAAATGCAGTCCGCTGGGTTGAGTTGACTAACGACATGATTCCAAGCACAGTGCTGAGTAGCTTGTTGTATTTTTGAGACGCGGTTGGCGACGAATTTGACCCAAGTTGTAGGTGGTGCTTTCAGCCAGCTGAGCACGATTGTTGAGTCCACCCAAAAGTAGACTTCGCCGGTATGGTTCAGTGATGCTCTGACCTTCTGGAACAGTTCTGTTGCGAGCAGGGCTCCGCACAACTCCAAGCGGGGGATGCTTTGCTGCTTAAGAGGTGCTACTCTAGATCGTGCTGTTAGTAGTGCGACCTTTATGGTGCCGGAAGAGTTTGCTGAACGAATATGACAGCATGCACCATATGCATTCTTTGAAGCGTCTGAAAAGAAATGCAGTTGGATCGACGTCGGTGTAGAACAGATGACCCATCGCTCGATTCGCAGGTCATTAAGCCGAGGTAGTTGTTCACAGTACGCCAGCCAACGCTCCTTGATCGCTGCTGGTAATTCCTCGTCCCAGCCCCAGACTTCACCGTTGTTGTTTTTCAGCTTCCACAGCTCTTGCATAAAGAGTTTTGCCGATGTTACCACAGGTCCGACTAATCCAATCGGATCGAAAAGTCGTGCAATTTTAGAGAGAACTGTTCGTTTGGTGATGGTAGCTTCTACAGGGTCGGGGGAGAGACAAATACGATAGCGGAGGCAATCGGTAGAGGGTTCCCAATGCAGTCCCAGCGTCTTTATGCATTGGTCACGATCGAAATCTACAGATGGTTGTAGTGCTCGATTATCGGGAGAGACATCATGGAGAACTGCAGGAATGTTGGAGGCCCATTTGCGTAGGGTAAATCCTCCCTTGGAAAGAAGAGTGTCGAGCTGTTCTCGAAGTTCGATGGCTTCTTCTTCGCTGTCTGCTCCGGAGAAAAGGTCGTCTACATAGAAATCCTTTCGCAGTACTTCGGTAGCTCGGGGAAAGTTGTCTTGCTCGTCGTCAGCCAACTGTTGTAGAACTCTTGTGGCTAGAAAAGGTGCGCATGCTGTCCCATAGGTTACCATTTTCAATTCGTACGTGTCCAAGGGTAAGTCGGGAGAAATTTGCCATACAATGCGCAGCAACGGGGTGTCGCGTTCATCAACCAGAATCTGACGAAACATCTACTTTGCATCAGCAACCAACATGATGCGGCGGGTTCTCGATCGCATAATGATGGACCTCATTTCCTCCTGGACGATGGGTCCCACCATGAGTGCATCGTTTAGCGAACGTCCTTGGCTAGTTTTACACGACGCATCAAAAACGACGCGTACTTTGGTGGTCGTACTTTCCTCTCGGACAACGGCGTGGTGCGGAAGATGGTAGCAAGGTTTGGGAGGTGTTTCGTAGTCGTCGACCTTTTGCATGTGTCCCAAGGCGTGGTATTCATTCATGAAGTCGACGTACTGTATACGAAGTTGTGGATCGGTTCCCATTCGCTGTTGTATCATGCGAAATCTTCGTACGGCCGTGCGACGGTTGTCGCCTAGTGAAGTTAAGACGTCTGGTTTCACCGGTAGGCGAACGATGTATCGACCTTGCTGATTTCGAGAAACGGTTTGCTGGAAGTGTGCTTCACATGCGGCTTCCTCGACGGAATAGGATGGTGACGAAGTTTCTTCTTCGATTGTCCAAAAACGTTCCATTATCTGAGACAGATCGGCGATGGAGGCAACGTTTGCGACGAGTGATCTTTTCGGTTGTGGACTGGAGGCTTTTCCAGAAACCACCCAACCGAGCGTGGAATTGATGAGAGGTGGAAATGCATCGCCAATTCGAATTCGACCCGAGACATGGAAGATGTCGTAGAAGACCTCTGCGCCTAGTACTAGATCGATTGATTTGCGGCTGTGGAAAGTTGGGTCAGCAAGCTGGATTCCGGGTGGAATGCTCCAAGTAGAGGCATCGACGGAGGTGGATGGTAAGTCCATAGTCAAACGTGGAAGAACCAAGCATTCAACGGTGGTGGAGTAGTTACAGACTCTTGATCGGATGTGGGAGAGAACTGTGAACTTAGCGTTGACCGTCGATTCGCCGATACCAGAGATCGGAACGGAAACCCTTTTTCGTTGGACTGTGACGGTTTGGAGGAATCGCTCTGAAACAAAACAACATTCGCTTCCCGAGTCTAGAAGAGCTCTCACTGCATGCTCCCTTCCATTATCATCGACGAAGAGGACGACAGCGGTAGCGAGGAGGACAGTGTTTTGTTTACATTCGGTTGCGGCGTAGTTAGGTAGCTCGGTGACGGTCACAGAGGCTGATGTTCGTGGCTGTTCCTCCGTAGTGTGAGTTGTTTTCGATGTTGTAGGATGATGGTTCGCGCCTGTTGACGTTTCTCCATGGCAAAGTCGAGTGTGATGACGGTTTTTGCATTTTCGACAGGAACTGGACGACGGGCATTCTCGTACCAAGTGACCCTTGCGTAGACAGTTTCTACAGAGCTGCAGTCGACGGATTTCTTTTTCCTTGTCCTCGATGGCCAAATTCGAGAACGTGGGGCACATATAGAGTGGGTGATGTTCGGAGCAAATAGAGCATTTTCGATCGGTGCTGACGTGGCTGACGGTGTGACATGCCGCCGGGCGTTGGGTGAACTTCTTCGGCTGACTGTACGACGATGACGACGGCGGAGTTTCTACGCCTTTTCCGTGAAGCGTTTGGAGGACGGATACTCTCCTCTGAATGAAGCTGGTGAGGTCCTTGAATGAGACATCGTCCTTTGCTGATGAAAATTCCTCCCAATCGCGACGAGTTGTGGCATCGAGACGAACGCTGAGCATACGAATGAGAATAAGATCCCAGAATTCCGTTTTCTCTCCTAACTGCTGAAGCACCTTCACGTTGGACTCGAATCTCTCTACGAGCGCATGTAAGTCTGCCGCTGACTCACGTTTGAGGGTGGAAAACTCGAACAAAGCGTTGAGATACGACTGCTTCAATCGGGGTTTGTTCTGGAAATGCTCCTCAAGCAAATTCCAGGCTACGGAGTAGTCCGCTGCAGTAATAGGGATCGTCTGTACAAGTTTGAGGGCGTTGCCAGAGAGGGAAGAACGCAGGTAATAAAATTTTTGAATGTTCGAGAGTTCCGCTGAAGAGTGAACCAAGGACATATACAGGTCGTGAAAATTCATCCAATAATCCAAATTTCCACTGAAGACAGGCAGTTTGATATCCGGTAGACGCACATGGGATGACGTAGAACCTTGGAAGTTCGAATGAGAAGTCGAAGCGGTGGGTGTCGGGGAAGGAGGTGTCAGTTTATTGACGGACAGGAGGAAACCCTTAACCTTATAGTACGACGATTCGTAGCTGGCTCGATCCTTCAGAAGTTGTTCGATGCCGGCCTCGTCGATAGTTTCCAGCTCAGATTGGACGGCGCAGAAATCAGTCCATAGCTTCGTAAGGCTCTCCAAGCGTACTGGGACTTCTAAGGAATGTTGTTCGTCGACATATTTATCTACAAACGTTTTAGTAAGCATGAAAGACGTCTGCAGGCTCTTCATGCGAAGTTTGAGCGTTTTCAAGCGGCGATCCGTGGACATGGCGACGGGGAATAGTACGGGGTTTGATCTGTGGAATCGAAAGCACCGCGGAGCACAAACAGGACAGGGTGTAGAGAAGTGGAAATATAATTACCTCCTCGAGGCAGTCTATGTGCCTTGTATTAAATGTTTCAGCAGCAACTCGAAGATTCTCGGCACTTCCAGGCGTGGCCAGGTAGAAGCTTCAAAGATGGTTTCACGGGCGTGAGAGATTCCAGATGACCGGAGTTCGTCGGCCGATCCGGTTCGAAGGACCAGATGTCGATATCAAAGTAGAGAGCAGTAGAGGTTTCAATTTACTTCGGGCACTTTCTTCACAGATCACTCAATCTTCTGTTTAGTTCAGTTCATTTATTAAATTTTACTTCGTTTCACTTCATTCACTTTATTTGCAGTTCAATTCATTTTACTTTTAGTTCAAACTAAGACAATCCACTTTTATTTTACTTAATTTCACTTAATTTCAATATTTTACAAACTATGGACTTGGTTCACTTTGGTTCTTCACAATCGGTTTCGTCCTCGTTGTCGTAGTCGAGAAGAAGAGAGTTTTTCCCATGCGGGATGGTCCTTTTATACAACGGGGCTATTCATCGGCGGCGGAAAAAGGAAGTAAACAAACGACAACACTATGCTGCATGAGTTACTCTGCTCCGTTGGGACGACAGCGGGGATGACATCTTGTTGGGACGACAACTCGTAGAAAATCGACGAACGAGGGATCTTTATTAAGGGTGATGATCATTTTCGACAACTAGGCGGCGCTAGTATATTCGTACGCGAACACACTTATTTCTATGTCTAGTAGGAGTTGGGCCGAATACTAGCGGCTTACTCGAGGTTAGAGGAGTACATTGTAGAAGGATAGGATCAAGGGAGGAGCTTGGAGTGGGGTTTCGTTGTCACATCAGAGCGTTGTCGCCTGTATGAACGCTAGTGCGTTTTTCGATTCGTCTGGAGTTCAACCGCATATGGTGACCAGTGGACGACGATGAGGCTCATCGAGTTTGAGGGACGAGACAAAAAAACCTAATAAAGAGAGACAAAAGACAAAGGAATTAAATTCTTATACTAGACATTTGCAAAACACACTTCATATAGCAGAGATCGCGTCTATGATAGGGATATAGGGTTATCTTCCTTGGGTCTCGAGGGTATTCAAAAGTCGCTTTCTGGTAGCATTATTATCCGTACATTGCCAAACTGCGTGATCGATGTCATCGAAACCGTTTCCACACCGACAGAGGTTTATTCTATGGAGCTTCGACCAGCACACTCATCTGCTCCGTTACCTATGAAAGGAAATAAGATCAGTGCCTACTTGGTTGCGAACTAAGACTATCCGAGAAGATGAAGTAATGGTCTGCGGGCATGTTGAAAATTATCCCCAATGCGAAGTTGATTGCTCCCAGCTCAGCAATAAAAACGGAACAAGGTTCCTGAAATTTTCGAAGGGTGCTAGAGTTTTCATTGAAGACACCGAAGCCAGTGGATCCATTGAGACGGGACCTGTCTGTAAAATATATTTTCACGCAATTGACGTGTTGGCATTTTTCAGATAAAATACGCAGGATAATAATAGGTCGATGTTGATCGGGAATCCCATGCGTTGCTTGTTTCATGGTCAGACCATATTCAATTAAAGAAATGCCATTGGTGAAGTGAGCACGGTATTGTTTACACCTAAATCATTAGTTTAATTTAATTAGGTCAGCTTTTGAGGTTCATGACACTAGGGTGGTCCTTACGGTTGATGAGTTCTTAATATTAACTTTTTGACGTAGGATTACGTCTTTCGGACTTATTGGGGGTACAATTTCAAAAAACCAAATTCAACCACGTTACGAAAAGTGGTCAGGTTTTGGCCACCTATAACTCTGTCAATAGCGGGTAGATTCCAATTCTAAACCAACCAATCAATTGGAAATTTTTCTACAAATCTGCTAAAATGAACACTTTATCAATTTTCAATAGGTCACTATTGAAAATTACACAAATGTTCAACTGTTGCAATGGTGATCAAAATTATCACCGATTGCCTACAACAAGCACATTCCCTATCACAGACTTCAACATCGAATTCCATCCGGTTTCGCCGAACGGTGTTTACTCAACCCGGTCGCCATCATCATCAGCAGCAGCAGTGCTTCCGGCGTGTGCCGTTGTACATTTTCTCCAGCACACAACGGAAGGCTCCCCGCAAGCAGCTAGCTATCAAGGCTGCCTTCAAGAGCCCTCGATTAAACAAGGAAAGAGGAAGAAGCCACACCGCTACTGATCGGATTGAGTAGCTATTCGTAAGTAGCTGTAGGCCATCTATGCCAAGCGTGTTACCGTCGTTCCAAAAAACATACAGCTCGTGAGCCTCATCCGTGTTGACCACCCTAATAGCTCAGCATTACTCAACCATCACTACAAAACGGTTTTTTTCAGGACCATCATAAATTGTTGTCGCTTAAGAGTTAATTTTCATTGATCGTTCGCTCGCCTTGCTACCAGCCACATCACCCCCAAAGCTATTTGATAATGTAACCAGCAACCAAACGTTTGTGGTAACGTAACAGTATTGAAGTGGTACATTAAAATTCTCGCAATTCTAGTACACCACATGACCTTGTCAATTAATCAGAAACACTTCGAATTATGGTAAAAGTGTCTCCGCTAGAGAAAAGAAAGAAATCTTGAATTTATATCATTGATCGTGAATATTTCAACAAGGTATTCCTGAAATAAAATTTTACTTTTTTTTATTATCTTTTGAATAAACTCAAAATTCCGTTGGTTTTGTGCACGAAAATAGGTAATTTTGTCAAGGCGTTTCAGTGCTGGGAAAAGGTGGTTTTTTCCCTAACACAGTCGCCGAGAATGTAATCCTACGTCAAATCTACGGTCGTGTCTTGACTACAACCTCTTACTTTTAGTTATTCGAGATAGACCGGCATATTGTTCAACAACAGACTGTCAAACCGAAAGACGGTCATGTTTATATCAAGTGAACTGTATCAGTCAATCCGGCGAAAAACGGACGTCATGTTCGTTTAAACGCACAGCCTACTTCTCTGCACAATATTCCAAGAATTTAAGAAAATTTCTAGACCGTGAATTATTGTTATGGGAAAACCTGAAACTAAAAGCAATTCTGAAGGCATTTCGGAAAGATCCTAGAGAAATTTGCAAAGATATAATGAGATAAGTTTAAAAGAAATAATTTAGTAATTCTCAAGGAGGTGGTCACTCTGCAAAAAAAAAACGGATGGAACGGAACGGAACGGAACTACTACATCGTGTTGTGTTTCGGTTTGACCAATTTGAAATCATCTACACATTTAGAAATACCTAATTTTATACGTGACGGAATCCATCTTTGACTTAAAGGATGAGACGTAAACAAACATGTTATGTAAAATTAAGTGCTCCGACAATGAAAAGTTCGTTACTCGACGAAAAGTAAGCTTGATTTAGCTGAATTTTGCGTCTATTATGACTCAAAATTGACGCTCGTAGATGTCAGTCTCAGATAGGGTTACCATATGGTATCCTAAAGGAGGACATGTCCTCCTTTTCATCCTTTAGTTTTTTATCCTCCCTTCACCTCAAAATGTCCTCTTTTTACGATTAAGCTTTGTTTGTATCACTATTTCAAACAAAATTTAAAAAGTTAAATTGACAACACCGGTTTCATACCACATCATCAAATGCATTTCACTAACGGGTACAATAAGCATTTTTTGACGTTTGCCAATATTCACCACCTTTCGTTAGCCTTACCATGTTCACCTCTTCGATGGAGTGAAGAAATAAGACAAATCCTCTACCATAGGGAGCTGCGCCGTCGGGCTAACCTCACTTTTTTTGACATCTGGCAGTGGTTTGTTTACATGGACTTTGAAAAAAAAAATAAAAAAAATATTAATGTTTTTTTAGAGTTTTTGGAGAGGAATATTTTTCAAACGAACATAGTCGGATATCATATATTTTAATTCTTTTTATTTAAAACCTCAAATCCACTTGAATCGACTAACAAGCAAAGGTAAACAAACCACCACTGGATGTCAAATTGATGAATGCGGGTTCATCGCGTTCATTCGTGACGTCAGCGTGCAGCATCCTATATGAGTAAAGAGTACATCAAGCATTGATGCGATTGTGTGATTCACCAGCGACGATTTTTTCTTCCGTCCCTTCAATGCAAAGTCAAAACGTCATACAGCCACGGAGTGAATGTTTTCGTACATTAACTGCATATTTCGTTTCATATTTATCAGGTAAAAATCCTATGTTGAAAGAGTAAAGCTGTATGCAAATAATGAAGAAATTTTTAATTTTCTAGATCCTGTTGTGCTTTTACTTTCTGTCCACGCCCATCTTCATCTTGTGTTTTGTTATACTATCATAAAAATAAGAGCCACCAAAGGTAAACAAAACACAGAATAATGTTTTACTTCAGATAAGCAACTTTCAGTGTTCACTTCGATGTTCTTTTTTTTCAGTACGATAAGCAGGAAGCTAAATTTTCCAACGTGTTGCAGGAGAAGTTCACATGCTTTTCTAAAGGGCCACCCACATTAGATCCGTTTGCGTTGCGTTGACGTAAATTTGACAGTTAGACAATAGATTTAGCGGTCACTTTGCCGCAACGCGTCCGTTCCGGATCTAATGTGCGTAGGCCTTAAAGGTCGAGGCGAGTATGACGCGAAATGCATTATTTGCGGTTGCCACGTCGACGTTGGCAATAAGGGCGCAGTGGCATTAGAACGTCATATTCGAACGGATAAACACAAACAAATGATTGGTGCATCTGCCTCGACATCAAAAGTTACTTCTTTTTTCGCACGGGTTGCATCATCAGCCGTAAAAAAAGCGAATGCAGTTGCTGGAACTTTGGCATTCCACACAGTTCAGCACCATCAATCGTTCAAGTCAATGGATTGTACTGCAGCCCTGATGCGACAGCTATTCAACGATTCAAAAATTGCTGAAAATCTTAAATGTGTCCGAACGAAAACCGAAGCCATCGTGAACCGTGTCATCGCACCCCACACTATGCAGAAGGCTTTGGAGGCATTAAAGGACATTCGTTTCATCTCTGTCACTACAGATGCAAGCAAACACAATGCTGAGAAGATATTTCCTGTCATCATTCAGTTCTATAATTGCGTGAGTCTTGGAATCGAAACTAAATTGATTGATGTAAACAGCCTACCAAATGAGACTTCTAATACAATTGCTGAGTATTTACTCACGTGCTTAAAGGCCCATGGACTGGCTGAAAAGTGCATTGCATTTACAGGGGATAACGCAAGTGTAAATTTTGGTGGCATCAATCGAAATCCTGGTCGAAACGTTTTCACTTTGCTGATGGAAAGTTTGCAAAACCCAAATTTAGTTGGTGTCGGCTGCCCTGCACACATAGTTCACAACAGTCTTCATCATGGCATTGATCTTATGAGTTTTCGATTTACACGGTAAGGACTCAAGCACTCAAAGAGTTTTGCGATTACGTGGAACTTAATTACCAACCTTTACTGAGTCATAGCAAAACTCGGTGGTTGAGTCTATTTCCAGCAGTGGAAAGAATTTTTAAGCTTTATTCAGCTCTCCAAGACTACTCTATGTCCCAAACTGAGCCACCACAACTAATTAAATCGTTTTTTGAAAACACAAGCTCTGAAATTTACTTGTGGTTCGCGCACTCTCTAATGTCTGTTTTCCAAACAAGTTTGGCATCGATCGAAAGAGGGGGAAATTCGGCGCTTGAGGTTAATTCTATTATTGAAAATATTTTACGTTTACTGCGCAACCGCATCAAAGACAAGTTTATTCCATTGGAAATTAAACAGCTTTTCAATGAACTGAAGGTATCTGAAACCAAGAAGCAGAAAAAGGGAAATGAGTTTCAACAGATTTACGAAGCTTGCATACATTATATGGAAAAATGGATTGCAGATTGTAAGCAATTACAAATCCATTCAATACGATGATCTTATTCCCTGTATAAACTATCTCACCAAAAATGGTATTCAAATTGATGATGTTAAACTATATGATCAGTTTTATATGATCATATTTGGCATTTGGTAGCGCTTTGTGAATGTATACACCTGCCCACGGCTAAAACAGCCAGCCTAAATCAGCAGAAACATTTTCGTCGCATTGTCAACTCCCGTTTCTAGTTATCCAATTGGTACATGACCTTGGCCACCTCGAACCGTGCACCCGTGTCGGATGGTTGGCATCAATAGCGTGAGCCCGTTCCAGTAGTTGTAAATTTCGAATGCCATCCGATGCGTTCAGTTGATGTCTTTGCCGTGGTCGCTGTTCAGCGGACGGTTCCTCAATCCTTAGGGGGTCCTTCGGTTTAGCCAGTATGTCCGGTAACTGCTTATCCAGCTAGACAGAACATTGTCTTGATTAGAATGGTTAGGATCTGGGATAGCTTGTTGTTTTGTTTCTTCAAAACAAAACATTTTAACTGTCAAATTACCCGGGGTGCCATACACACGCTATTTAAAAACTACCCAAATTTGGGTAGAATCCACCCAGGTCGGTCAAAACTGAACCTACCCAAAAATTGGTAAACTATGTTGGAAGTGATAAGTTGAAAGGACCAAAGGTCGAATGGACAAAAGATTGAATCTTCAAACTATTTTTTTTTAAAGAATGAGTGTATTTAGGAAAGATTAAATTTTATTGATATTTTACTACTCTCTCCTCACTGTTCTTTAGATGCGTATCGAGGTCCCCTTCAATTGTGCAAAATTCAAACGGATTTGGATTTGCAGGAGAATTTTAAATTTGGCACGAAATTATACATTTGCTTGCCAAAAATATGTGGGAGAATTTCAAATCTTCATTTGCTTGTCAAATATTAAAAAATTGTCAATTTTAACCAGGGGGAATGACACTTCAGGATTATCCAAAACCTCTCAAAAAATTTTCAACGTGCCCAAAATTTCAATTCATCCTATCTATTCTTTCTATTTCCAACTTATCCCTTCTGCATGCACACAAATTGTCAAGCAAGCCATGCAGTTTCTCGAAGATTTCAGGTCGACCTCGAAGCACTCTGCCATACTCACTGTCATTTTTCAATAATCTCCACAACAAACACCATGTATGTCAGCTGACTATGCCGGTTGAAAATCGGAAAACTAAAAAAAGATGCCGGACCACTCGTCTAAAATCGTTCGCGGGACAACATCAAGTTGTCCATTTCCCGGACTTAAACCGATCGAATTTGACGGATAAGAGCCCAGGTGTCTGTGTGTTGTAGCATGGAAGTTACGACAAGCAGGTGGAGAAGGAATTCAGGTAATTTTTCCAACCGGCCCAAGTTTTACTAGTTGCTGCTGCTGGTCAAGGATCCGGAGAAGAAAGAGCTAATGGTGAAGGAAGACACCCACCGGCTGATGGAGTTTCTGTGCGAGAATATTGTGATTCAAATTCCCGTCCAAATATAGCTGGGAATATTAACCGGAACCTAGTGATCCATCGCCACCACTCGTTCCTCATACTGTGCAGTTTCGACCTATTTGGTACGGAACCGTTTTCTGCACTGTAGCTGGGATCTTTGGTTAACATTGTTGGGCGGTGTCCATTAATTACGTTACGCTAAAAATCAAAATTTTCGACCCCCCCCCCTTCAGAACAAAACGTAACACTGAAAATGATCCCCCTCTATTTATTACGTGACGCTCTAAAATACACCCCCCCCCCGCCCGTCTCTTAAAATTAATTTTTCATTCCGGTATGTCTTTTTTATTTCTAGTTAATTGTATTATTATCAAAATAAAAACAAAAGATCAGCGTAACATCGAGTACCTGATATTCAAAAGTTTAAGCAGAGCAAAAATCACAAGATATAAAATTAAAACATATCCATTTTGTAAGCAAGATTTAGTGATGGCATTTTTTGACCTATATTTTCAAACTTTACATCAAGAAACAACAAAAAAAAACAATATGTTCTCGTGGTTACGTAACGGAAAGCTTTACTCCTCATCTCCTATGTAATAATTCGTAACGATATAGGTGACCCCCCCCCCTCCCCCTATAAGCGTCACGTTATTTATGGACGCTGCATTGCAGTAGATTTTTCTTCTTTTTACACCTATCCTCTTCGCGTTCGGACTTGTATTCCTCTGAAACTTTTTAACACCCCTCACATCACATCCATTCCCTGATCTATCCCATCTATTTTTCTATCCGTGCTCTATTTTCGTCAACAGGACACACTCAAAAAAATCCCATCAATTATGTTTTTCCCCGAAAATCCCAAGTAATTACTAGACTGAAAAAAATACATCCAAATGAGTGTCGTTCCCCCTGATTTTAACCAATCTTTAGATTTGATTGGGACGAACAACCAATCGGTGGAAACTAACGATTTAAAATTGACTCACTACTTGAATAGCCTATTGGTCCCAAGCAAACGATTAACGTACCCCATTCTTGTCGAAATTCTAGTACTACACAATGTTTGTTTTGATTTGCTATGAAAGTTTGACAGATAAAATGAGGGGTTAGTGGATTATCCTATGTTTCGAGGGGTGAATCGACTAGCTTGGGACCGAAGAGAGTACCAGAGCTGAGCCAAAAAGTTGAGCACGTTATTTCGGGACCTTCTAGTCTTAGAGCTACCTCTATGGAACAACTCTGTCTCAGACCATAAATCGTTTTAACTTCTGAGAGAAAATATCATTATTTCACTATAAGGCCTATTCCTTAGCACCTACCTATAGGCGCATTATAAGCTTGTAGGTATGAGCAGAGTTGCGACCTATCACAATCACGATAGTAAGATAGCTGATGGTAGTAATGATTGGTACATTCCTATCAATGTGCTTGTCGAAGCACTCTCCATGATCATCCATCAAGTTGACGAAAGAAGTAAAAAGCAACTGGTGAATGTCGTCTTCGGTGGTGATCCATCACCGATCTAATTATTCCCGACAATCACGACACGCAGTTGCTGCTTTGCTAGCTTATGTGAGTGTGTTGGTGAGTGAGCCCAACGGCTCACCAGCTTTATTTGTGACTCACACAGTCGCACCTGCCGAGTCGAAATTTGCATTTTCTTCTGTCGTTTCGCTTTTTCTCATGATCGTAGTGCAGAAGTCTTCACTGTTTTCGTTGTGCTTTACATTATCAGCGGCGAGTGTTACGTTTTGCATGTGAGCAGCGACCATTTCTGGTGAATGTTGTTTGCCATGACTCTACCTCTCACTGCGTGACAAAACGTTCTGTCAGCGATAGTCGGTTGATGCGGTGACGAGTGTCAAGTGAGTGTCACGATATTTTGTAGGACAGGGGTATAAGGGGTGCACTTGATCAAAGTTAAAGTTTAATAACTTTTCAAACAGCAGTCCTCAACAAAGTTGTTCTGCATAGTATTGTATTCACATTCTAAGTCGCAGATTTGGTTAAAATAGAGCAATTTTTGACAAGCAAATTAATAGTTTAGTGTAATTTTCTATACATTTTCGTAATACCTCTGAAAAATATGAGATTCTCAAATTTTTCGAAAATCACAAGTTTTTCAAAGTTTGAAATGTACAATTTTTAAGCTCAAAGTTTTAAATGCAAATTTTAATCACAGCATCTCAAATAATTTTCATGATTTAACTTTCTATGAAGGGTATATTGAATTTTTATTATCATTCAACATTACAGAAAAAATCTATGAAAACTAAATTTTAAAGAACGACCATTGAAAGCTAAAAGAAGGGAATAAAGTAAAAAATCATCTTTTATTTTTGAGAATTTATTTGAAGTTATGACAAATCAGTTTCAGAGTTTTTACAAGGTCTTTCGATCTTTTGCCCATAAACCCGAAGGCAAAAAGGTTGAAGGAAAAAAGGTCGATGGAAAAAAAGGACAAGGGAAAAAAGGTCGAAAGGACAAAAGGTCGAAAGGACAAAAGGGCGAATGCACAAAAGAACGTCGAAATGGACAAAAAGTCGTAATAGATAAACTGCTCAAATGGCTGGAGAATGAAATGGGTGACGAACTCTAAAATATATATCCATCTTTAAATCATGAGAAGTTCTGTGGAAAATTAGAATAACGACTAGTTACAGTGTGTGTCTCGGCAATTGCCTTTATTTATTCCTCGCTCTCATTACGCTTTATATCACGTGATATAACAGGATGATATCAATATCAGGTGGTGTTCACATTACGGTGATTTGATATAGTTTGTGATTTATGACAGCGAGAAAAAAGAAAAGATTTGAGTTTGATGTGAAAACATATCCTGACGGCGGTATCGGGTGGAAGCTTTCAGAGCGTACGAAGCCAGTACCAAGGAGATCCGGATACTTTTGACCAATGAGTGTCGGAATATTTGCTGGAGCCTTACCAGTTTCATATCGTACAAATGGAAAGCTGTTCGACGCTGCATTTTCACTTTCAAAACGATGGCTTCCTGGATCAGGACACTGCGTCGATTTTGCAGGCTACACAGAACAGCCAGAGCAAGGTAAAGAAAACCCACATGGACATTCTTTAAATCCAGATCTTTTTAGAATCATCGAACGTCTGAGGCGGAAACAACATGCGCAGCGCTCAGCACTATTGATAACAGTTGGATCACGCTCCCGAGAAATCTCTTATTCATCGGCTTTCCCCTTCAAGAGTCACATGTGAAAAGGGCAAACAAGCTTTTTGTAAACAAACCTTTGTAGGCCCTTTTCTCGCCAACCGAGGGTCGCTCACGCAAACCAACAAAATCATCGGGAAGGGTAAAGTTTCCCCTACCCGGTGATGATTATGGTTTGCATTGGTGTCATATGGGAGGCGAGAAAAGGGCATAAGAAGGTTTGTTTACAAAAAGCTTGCATGCCCTTTTCACATGTTGTTCTTGCCTTGATGTTGATGACATTTGAAGCCAAAAAATAGTGGCCAGCTGTATCGTGGCCTGGTTGCCAGTCACTTTTTTTTGAGGATTTTATCAAGTACACAACATGATATGAGCTATATCATGAGCTATATCATGAGCTATATCATGAGCTATTCATGATATATATTGACAGATCGTTTGTATGAGATATCACGTAATATAGAACATGATATAGTTGCTATATCTCAAATCACTCTTTATTACTTGATATAGAGCGTAATGATCACAGGGTATTAGAATATATTCCTTTTTTAAATCATGAGCAGTTCTTTGAAAGTATTTTTATGTTCTTTCAAAGTCTTAGCGTCAATTGTCTATATAATATTTTGTCAACATTAAGGTTTTTTTTAGCGGCGTCGGTGGTGGTCGGTAGCCTTCCTTCGGAAGGAAAATAAAGCCGTTGAACCCCGGTTCATGAGTTGATGGGTCGATAGGTAGGGTCCAGGTGTGGGACCTGCTTTCCTGTCATCGGTAGCATTGGTGCTCAGCATATAGCATTGGTACATTCGACCTTTTATCCCTTCGACCTTTTGTCTTGTCTTGTCTTGTTGTTGAGATCATTTTTACCTAACTGTTTTATGTTTACAATGATTTTTACTGCTTTAAGGCTGTTTTGATGTTTCTGGCTTTAAATGTCCTTGTAAAGTTATTCCCCAAATTAATAAGCATTGTATTGGCGTTTTGCGTGGTTTTGTTTAGGATGGTTGCGTTGTCTATTCTTTAGGATAGATTTGAATCTCATAAGACGTATTTAGAAAAATATGTATCGGTGTTTCAAGTCAATTAGTTTGTCTTTTATCAAATCAAATTGGAAAGGTAAATGATTTTAAAATCATCTTTAGTAGAAAACATTCCACTATATTGAACACAGAACAGAGGTAATTCCGCGGGTTGTCCTAGAAAAATCACACCCCGCGTTTGGACGCAGCTTTCTGGTTGAAAATAATCTCATCCTTCATAAATTACTCCAAACACCTTACGCGTAGCTGTTGCATCGGAAAACTATACTTTATAACGTGAATCGCTTAATCTTCTCTGCTGGAAAAATAATCACCTCTTCCCCTTCTAGAGCAGTTCGGTCAGTTGCTGTATTATAAATATTTAACCTGCACATGCAAATTGCCCATAAACATGAGAATGCGGAATAAATTTACCCCTTCTTTTTGCACTATTCTGTTCTATGCCATTCGAACGCAGTAGCTACCAGCATTATTGCATTGACTTTACACTACTGGCGGGGGAGAGTGCAAGAAAGTTGCAAACCTTCGGAGTAAAGTGGTCACTGTGTGTGTGTGTGTGTGCCGTCCCAGTCTCCGTCCATTCAACATCAGAAAAAGACCGACAATGGCTTTGGTTCTGCCGCCCAGGGGAAACGGAAAGAAACAACAATGACCAGTGAGTGGCTGGTGGCCATCATCAGACAATTTGGAGCCCATCCCTTAGCACCCGTCGCCGCCTCTGAGTGGTTCGGTCGTGGTGAACGGTGGGTTGAAGTTTAGAAAACAATCTAAATAATTGTGAATGCATTTGTTGTGAAATTTCACCAGCAACCAGCCCCACCGCACGGTGGAAGACCTTCTTGACGTACTGCATTGAATGCCTGATCCTTTCCCGGTGAGTGGGGAATCATGATGGAAATTAATTCATTACTACAAGCCTTCCGCCGCTCGCTCCAGGATTGTATAGAGTTGTTATGCTTAAGCTACTCTCGGAAACAGGCTTTGGTTATAACGGAAAGTAAGATCTTCAACCAAGAAGGGATTGGTGGGCCAATTTATGAAATGTAGACTCAGCCAGCCAGGGGACCAGGAGCTTTCTTGTCCAGACACATAACCAAAGAAGCCGGTCGGTCATTAGGTTCCTAGGGAAAGGTGAAGGCTCTTTACTCTTACTCTTACTGTTCTATGTTTCATGCTTCATGCTGCTGCTGCTGCTGTTCCAAAGGGAGATAGGGTTCGTGACTCATTGTGTAAGTGCCAGCCACCGTCATCGTCGTCGTCGTCGTCGTCGTCGCCGACCGCCCGCTCATGGGAGAGGATGTTTATGTTTGCTAATGATTTCAATTATGCAAATAGATTAACTCGTTTTTGATGAAGCTTCGCCACCACCACGGCCACTGACCGACCGACAGTGTACCGTAGTTCTACGGCCGCCGGCTGGATCATGAGAGCAACTGTGCAAGTAAGGTACCTCGACTTGGAGCTGGCTGTATTTTAGTGCTCGGGAGACTTTTGAATAGTTAATGATGACTCGTCGGAAAGAAGCTGGCTATCGTTGGCCTTCTTTTCTTAACTGTGGTTGGAGAGCCGCATAATTGATGTAAGGATTAAGCGAGATACAGTTGGGTAATTAGAGGTAAATTTAGGACTTTCTTTGACGGTAAAATGGAAGCTATCTAGGGTTAAAGGTGTCGAATTTGCAAGACTGTGGGGGCGGTCAAAGAACATGAGGATTCTCCGCAGATAGTGTAGTCAGATGCACATTCACCCAACCGGGAAAGGTAAGACTCTATTACACATTTACATATAAAGTTGCATAGAAATTTCACAAAGAAGTAGCAAAACAGCTGCAACTGTCAAACATTCAAAACATTGACAAAACATTTCAGTAACTGAATTGTAGATTGCGATAATGATAAGCACAACTGGATTATAAACATCCTTTACCGGAGCTGTACCTGTTGTTTTAGACTGGATTGGATGGATTTCTATGGTAATTTCACTGCATTTTCTCACCAAAACACTTCGCTGAATGTATTTAAACGAGTTTTTGGACTTTTAGCTTCTATCTGATTAGGTTTTTACGACTGAGGAAACGTATTTTGCCAGGTTTTTCTTGGAATGAAATACACGCACTACAATTGGTGCTGATTTTGAGTTGCGAATAATAGAACAGCAGGTTAACATGCAGTACAAATGGAAAGGTTGCCGAAGAAAAAGAGGTTGCCGACAATAGTTATTTGCACCTAATAAGTTTGGAGCGTTGTAAAAGCGTTTTTAATCGAAGTTCTATCGATTGGAATGGATAGACCAGCAGGCAGCATATGAATGTAAACAAACAAACACTGACGCTAGTTAGATTGACGAGAATACGTAAATTACCTTACGTTAGGATTTTCAAAACATTGTATGAAGTCTGGAACGCGCAAAAATTGGTCAACTTCAAATTGGTGCATTTGTGTTAAAAAAGCAAAAAAACCTAAAATGTTGCATTTGGAAGTTGAGTGTATGTACAATGGTTGCTATGGTGAGTTTTCACCGTTTGCTCTGCAGTTTTCAAAATGACGTC